TTATAATACCTGAATTAAGATGAAGAGATTTTAATACTACTGTTTGTGTTTAAGAATGTAAATGTTTTTCTATTTAGCTGCTCTTCTTTTTTTGTTTCATATTGTTTTTTTTTAACATGTATTTGAATTAATTTCAAAATTCCAATGATTTAATTTGCCTTAATAACCTTGAGGTAAAAATAATCTTTTGAATGCTTATGGCTAGGGGGAAGTGTGATATAAAATAGCAAATATTGTTCATTTCCAAGTAAATTATCTGTATACAATGCATTACACTTAAGGAAACACTAATCTATAATATTTTAAATCTTTAAATTTTGCTTATGTATTTATTTGTGAGACAAAATTTTGAATTAAGAAAGTTCTTTTTTTGTACTCTCTTTAAGACTCTGCAAGTGTGAAAATTAAAGCCAATAATTTATCAAAGCAATCGAGATCAAATTGAAAGGAAAAATATGTACATATATGCATATATATATATTTATTATACCCTTACATCCTTCCTGATTTTTAAAAATGTGATTTAAGTTCAAGTCACACAAATTATCAGTTATAGAATCAAGAACATGCTTGACATTTAAAATATTAATTTTTTCCTAAACATTTGAAAATTTTCGATTTTTCATCCTACAGCTGGTTCAGCCACACCCTCAAAGACACATACTCTACAATTTGCCTTCATCTGTTACTCCAATGAAGCACGTTTAAATTTCTTGTGGTTTTCATTGACACCTGTGTACTATGTAGCACCTCAGGGGCTATGCTCTTTGGGTTCTAAGCTGTATGTTCCTTTGCTTTTAATATCTCCTGTCCCATAATAAATAAAGTGTTTTTCTCATTGTGTGCGCTATTTCTTTAAACTGTGGTGCAATCAGTAAAGGATTATTGTTACACTTTATCATTTTTATGTTTAGCTATTAAGTGACATCTATTTTCATAAATGGCGAACCTTAAATCAGACTTTCATATATCAGCTGATGAGCAATTCTTTGGTTTGCACATTTATGTAATTCAATTTTGGCAGACTCGTACCTCTACAGAAATGTTCATATGATAATTTGTCACTTAATTTTTCTATTTATTTATGTTAATTTCATTGTCACATTAAATTAAAATGTTTAGTACTGCTGACACTAGTGAGACATTTCGGGTCTGTAAGTAGGATATAATTGAAAAGTAGATTTATTTAATAGAATATTATGTTTTTAAATTTCTATATCAAATTGTAGAAAATCAGTGAATTCACTTTGAGAAGATAGATGAGCAAATAAAAATATAAACATGATGCTATACTTTTATTACTGTACAAAGTAAATGCTAAGAAATAAGTACAATATATATATACAGATAGAGATGTTATAATCATTACATTTATAAATTAATTATTTTATCTTACACTAAATATCAAAACACAGTGACAAAAGACTCAAAGGAAAGAGATACTCTGTCCAAGACAAAGAGGGAATTTTTATCCTCTTCTGAACATTGCTGCAGCTAGAGTGGTGGCTTTCCTGTAAACCCAGCTACTTGAAATGCGAAGCATGAGTTTGAGGCCAGCCTGGGCAACTATGCAAGATTTTCTCTGAAAAACAAAACAACAACAACAAAAAACTCAACAAGATAAATAAGCGATACAAAATTTCCTTTGAATTTTCAAGATATCATAAATATGCATGGGGCCGGGGATTTAGCTCAGCGGTTCGTGGCCTGCCTCGCAAGCGCCAGGACCCGAGTTCCATCCCCGGTTCCACAAAAACAAACAAACAAGCAAACATAAATATGCATGTGTTTAAATCCAATTTTATTTATAAATTCTCTAAAAATAACAGGAGTTTATATCATTTTTGCACATATGTGCATTGAAGGAAAAATAAATTATATGATTGGACAAAATGAAAATTTAAATTATCTTAAATCATAAATATTTCACTTGATGTCTTTGATCATCTCCCTTCCTGACATAAATGTTGAAATTCACATATAATATACATTGAACACATAAACATGTATATTAAACATACATAAATTATCTGACAGAATATTTTGTTTATTATCATTATAATGGGGCAGTGACAAAGGAAAAATTCAGTGTATCAACATTGCATTTGCGAGGCAGACACAATGCCACTAAGGTAAATCCCCAGCTCAATGCCTTACATTTAATAAGTCACATTGTTAACTAGCAGCATTTGGAAAGTATGCAAGTTTTCATGATGTAACTTATGCATAAACTGGATATGCATGACAGTCTAATTCCCTGTCTTTATTGACTGACCATGATTTTGGTGATTCCAAATTACTAGCATCGTATTTGAAATAACTGCTAAGAAACAGATACACATTTTCATTCTTCCAGCGAGCTGTTTCCCCTACCAACATGCTCAAACATCTCTCTCACATGTCTTCCACGTTGTAGCTCCTTTCCCCCCTATATTTATCTTATTACTTATGCCATAAACTTTGTCTTATTTCTTTTGATCATTATATATTTTTAATGTTTCATCATCTTGCCAGTCTTGCTTTTCATAATTTATTTTCTGAGGTACATCTTACTGCCAACACCTATTTCAGGATTTCACCATTTCAAATATGACCTTGCTCTTTTCCCTGCCTTGTTTATCCCTCGTGATCCCTCCTTCTTTGCCTCTTAACTAAGGACCATGACAAACAAACAGTAGGAGTATCTGAAGGGACAAAAGAGTAAATATTTCTTGCACTCATGTTTCTTGTAATTCTAGTAAAGAGAAGTAAAAATGCTAAATAAATAAATTATATGACATAGTGGAAGGTAATAACTACTGTGGAAAAGAAGAATAAGTTTAAAAGGAAAGAAAACATGGTTTAAAGAAATATGAGTATTCTTTTTAAAGACATTGGTCTAAGTAGTCCTAACAGAATGTTGGCGGTTATGTGGGGAGAAAGGAACCCTTCTCCACTGTTGGTGGGAGTGCAGACTTGTGCAACCACTGTGGAAATCAGTATGGAGATACCCCAAAGAACTAGGGTTAGAGGTTCCATTTGACCCAGCCATCCCTCTGCTGGATAACTTTCCAAAGAATCAAAAGAATCATACCACAGTGATATATGTTCACCCATGTTTACAGTGGCACAGTTTGTAATAGATAAAACTTGGAAACAGCCCATTTGCCCATCAGTTGGAGACTGGATAAAGAAGATGTTGTTATTCGAGTACTAGTCATTCATAAAGAATGAGAAACTAGAGTCGTTCATAGGAAAATGGATGCATATTGAGGTCATACTCAAGAGAAATAAATAAGATACACATATATAAATGCCACATAGTTTCTCTGGTTGAAATTCTAAAAGTATAAATAAGGTCCAAATGGTATAATTGACAATGTGAAATAGGAAGAAAAAGGCTAAAGGTGTAGGGGAAGTGGGAAGGGTAAGGGAAAGGAAATAAGGGAAAAGAAAAAAATACGAGAAATGAAAAAATGGAAAAAAAGTGTTTGTAAATAGGGAAGGAGGGGGGTCAGAGGCAAGGGGAAAAAATGAGAACCAAGACCTGTCATGTAAAGGTACAAGATCCCAATGATGAATGTAGCTGTACTGTGTATCTAAAATGTACCAATAAACTCAATGATGATAAAAAAAATAATATTCAAGCAAATGCCAGAAATAAGTGGATGAATAAGCTTTGGAGTATTTTGAGGAAGTAGAGTTCATATACCTGAATAGTAAATTGGAAAGCCCATGGCAGCAAGATGACCAGGTTCTGAGAAGCAGTAGAGAAGCCAGGAGGGTTGGAATGGTATAAATAAGGGAGAGGAGAAATCTGTATAGAGGCACAAAGAACTCCATAATATGGAAGATTTCTGAAACTACTGAAGGTTCAAGTTTTGACTTGAATGAATAGGAAACAATTGCAAAATTTAAAATAACAGGATAAAACCATTTAAAATCCTGTTTTACAAAGATAATTCTCATTATTCAGAGCATACTATTTAGTTAAAAAGAAGTTTAACTAATATACTTTCCTGCTCCAAAATGATTTTATTAAAAAAACAAAACAAAACAAAACTTTTTTTTAGGTACTGGCATCGAACTCAGGACCTTGCTGCAGGCAGCAGCCCCACTGAGATAAATCCTCGGCCGTAAAAAAGTTATCTTAAACATGAATTTCAGGTCTTGTTTCGGCAGCCCCGATGCTAAAACTGGAAGGGTGAATTTCCATCTCATATAATTAATGGAGCTTAGTGTCACAATCTTCTGATACTATGTGTCACAAGAGATCCATGGAAAATTCAGTCCACAGTATGAGACTCCTTCATGGAGTACCAAGCCTATTCATGGAAAGCCACAATTGCATAGAAAAGTTTAGAAGCTGGAAACCATGAAGGATTACTTTCTGTGGCTATTTGAAGAATGGATAAAATCGATTTGCCAAAGTTGAGAACAGAAGCATTTTATTCAAGATGGGATGAAATTTGGGCTGTTGTATAAGCAAAGGTATAGAATTAAGATTGCTTTACTTTACAGGTGGGAAACCTGACTGTAGAGGGAAAATAAGGCAGGGATAACCCAGACACAGACTTGGATGCTATCAGAAATAAGGAAAAAGTATATTTTAAATAGAAGACTAAAATAATTAAGTCAGGTTTAGACATTAGATTGGCAATGGCTGTAATTTATTGAGAACAACAATAACAAAAAGACAGTATTTATATGTCAAAATTCTTTCTGTCTTAGAGTATGCTCTTTAATGTCTTTGTAAAATCAGTGATCTTATATGAGTTATATTTTGACCGAAGGGATCTTTCATTACTTTCCCAGAAGATATATGATTTAACCAAGTGATAGAAAATAAAGGTAAAGAAAAAATAAGTTGTTGCTCATGTCTGTGTTATTTTTGTGTGTGAGATCCTAGATCTTTTGGTGATTATACCACCAAATGTGTACCAATGTGTGATAACTACATTGAACTGAGAAAACATTGTGAAGTCTGATTTATGTAATAAAGTTGATGTTTTCTTCGTCAGGTAACAGAAACACGGACGGGTCCTCTTGGCTGCAGTAACTATGACAACCTAGATTCGGTCAGTTCTGTTCTGGTTCAGAGTCCCGAGAATAAGATCCAGTTACAAGGTATGTAGGAGGAATTTCAGTTATCGTCAATCAGCCTGGATGACAAACTTTCAAGCTGTAATCTCTTTTCTTTTTTTGGAAACCAGATACAGCACACTCATCCAACCACACACACACGCACACACGCACACACACGCACACATGAGTAGACTATTAAAAGCCTTCTAAAAGGCTAATTTCAAATTTTAATTTAAATAAATCTAGAAAGGATGAATACAATGTCAAAATTACATGCAAGAAGGGTGGGTCAAAACTACTATGTGTTTACATAAAAAGTTATTTGTGGTTAGAGTAAAAGACACATTGCCATTTATCCTCAAAATCCTCCCCCTATGACATAACACACCTAAGTCATCATTCTTATTTTCTGCAGCAGTTTTGGAAGGCTTCATTCATGAATGTCTTCACAAGATGTAGTGAAAAGCACAATGAATACTTCTGTTTATTGCCATCAAGTGGCAGGCTTGTAAAAACCTTATTGTGTATCCTCATTTGCCTTCTGCACCAGATCTAGCACCATGAAACTCTGGCTTTTCCCTAAAATGGTAATGACCATGAAAAGTAATTGTTTCAAATCATTTCAGAATATCTAGGCAGCCCTGACAATACAAGTAAAATACTCACTGAAGAGGACTTACAGGACTGCTTCAGAAAAGGACAAAAATGATAAAATAAGAGTGTTCAAAAAGGGAGGATTAAAAGTATTTTGAAATGACCTAATGTTTATTTCAGTGTCATTTAAAAAATGTAAACATTCACTATGGTTTTTACTAGATCTCATTTTTTACGCTAGCTATTATATCAATAAGTTCCACATTTTTAATAGATTTACCTAACTTATAACTGTTTTCTTTACTGATACTTGAAAAAGATGCAATCACATTTACTGATATCGTAAACTAAGATGGTCATATTTAAATCTCACCTTTTACATCAGTCATTACAACCCTTGTTTCTGATTAGTAGAAATGTACTTGATATTATCAAAATATTTACATTAACATTATTTTCATTCTAAAGGTTGATTGTGTAACGATGGTCATAAATGATTTTTTCTATTACCAAATAAATACATACACGTACAGATATTTACACATATATTAGTTGAATTAGTTCAGGAAAGGGATGACATATATTTTCTAAAGCAAGTTGATTGCTCAAAGATCCATTTTGAGCTATTATTCTCTAGTATATATTTTGGAATTTTGCAGATTAGAGTTGTATTTATTTTTTACATAGAAATGTCCAAAACTTTTAGAAATTTTATTTGTAATCAACTTTTCGGCCTTAATAAATGTATCTACATTGTCTTGCTTAAATTATTCAAAATTATAAATAAATTCCATGTATTTTGAATTGTACGCAAAGGACAAAGTATGCAAATATTTTAATACTTTAATGTAAGCAATATATCCATGTTTATTTTAAAGCCATTAAAATAACTTCTCTGATTTAAATCAAAGTTCAGTATTCCAGTATTATGTGTCATTCTCTACTGCTTATTCTTTTTTATGTGTGCACTCACTTTCCATCAGAATACTTTGAACAAAAATGAACAAAAATGTTTTAGATCAATTTAGTTATTTAATTATTTTAAAAGATTGTCAAAAAGATATGCTTCCTATTCTGTTTCATTGTATAGTTTCCAAATAACTTTATGTTGTAAAAAACATAAAGCTCTTTAGCCTAAAGAACGGTGAAAGAAACTTTAAAATCCACTTTTTTTCTATTCTTTTCAATTAACGTGACTCAGAATCTTGCATTTCTGTCTTTTTTTTTTTTTTTCTGCCTGCCAAATGTGTACTTTGACTTCCCTGCTGTAGCTTCATGTGTAACACTGAGGATAGCAAAGTCTTTCTAAGACCATCTGGGAAATCAATGTTAAGATCTCAACAACCTAGGTACTCTAAATTTGACCAGTACCTGCAGTCCAGGACCAATGTTTATTCTTCCCTTCAAGGCTCATTCTTGTAATATAACTTCACTTTACCAAGAATGCAAACCACTCCCCATTTCTGTATCAATATTAATGCTGTTATTTTATTTTGAAGGAAAAATGCAGTTACTCTACATGGCAATTAGAAATAGTGACTTTGTCAAAGAATCTTATTAAGGTACTAGTTTAGGTCTCTGTGTTTACATTTATCTACTGGATACATGGATATGGATGAAAATTACATATAAACATAATTTTTGTTAGTGTTGTACATGTAAGCAGAAAATGAAGCTCTAGAATCAAAATGAGATCATTTAGGGTATTTATAATTCATATTTATTATTGAATACAGTCTATAATTATGAGTTTTCCTGTAAAACTCATCTTTCAAACTTCTACTTGTGTAGAAGAAAACAAAAATTTTCCTAAAGTAGAAATTTGTCAAAGCAAAGCAAAGAAAGCATGTAATTATTGAAAGCATGCATTAGACAAAAATTTAGAGCAAAATTCCATGAATAATTTTCTAAGACATTGTTAACTGTAATGTCAGTAAAAACACACATGCACATAAAAGATATGCAAGTCACACATTAATTTTAGCTAAAAGTAATGAAATCAAATGGTTTTTGACAATGAGTAAGCTGGATTTACATTTTGTTTGTTTACAATCTGGCTTTGGCAGTATTGTTACAGAGAAAACAGTTTTCTAAAAACTGAAAAAGCCATGTTTACAAGTACAAATTACGAAAATATAAAATATATGATAAACATAAGAAGATATTGGAAGAGATATATTTCAGTCAATAAAAGTCCATGTTATCTCATACCTTTTGAGTGTGGCATATCAAGCAAGTTGATTCTAAGCAGAAGGATAACAGAAGTAATTTAAAATCACTTAAATCTTGGTAGTGATTTTAAGTAAAATTTTCAAAAATTGAAAAAGTGAATAAATCCATATCATGCTGTGTAAAGTAATTTCCAGGTCAATTTTCTCTAACTGACACAGGAACAGGCCATTATAAGGTGGAAGAATGGATGTAGTTTTTTTAAAGTTTGATTAGTATGTGATGTTTTAGATCAGCAAAAAAAAAAAAAATTGATTGACATTACTTCATAAAAAACCTTTGTTCCCATTTACTAAATACAGCATACTTATTGCAATTAATATTTTCAGAGCTTATATACATGAATTTGAGAAGTAGGAAAATATGCTAACCTCTCAAATTGTCAGTCTAATAAAAAGAGAAGAGAGAGAACAGAAAGAAAAAGGAATTAGCAACAAAATACTACCCATTTTTTAAGGACATCTCCAAACAAAAAATTAGGTTAGTTTTCCTCAAATGTCATTTCAATATTTTTAATAATTTTAGTTTTGTGTAGAATTATAGTATTAGTTATAGTATTAAAATTCTCACCAGATATCTTTTGATTTACATTTTTTCATTATCAAGAAACTCTATATGGTGTAATTTAGAGAGTACTATTTTATATAATGACATTTATATTTTATATTTCATAGGAAATATCCATGCACATTCACATTTTAAGTCATTGATTTATATCACAGAAAATACCACTCTTACTAAGGAAAGTCATTTATGAATTAAATCATATAATATTTTTTTATTTTTGTGAAGATTCTTTTTTTTTTATTTTTTTCTCATGAAATTTATTGGTACCTTTTAAGTATATGGTCCAGTTACATTTATCTTTGGGATCTTGTACCTTTACATGACAGATCTTGGTTCTCAACTTTTTCCCCTTATCCCTGACTTCCTTTCACCCCTCCCCTTCCCTTGTTTACAAAGACTTTAAACAAAAAATATGTTGATATTGTGGAATGAGACTAAACTTAAAGGAGGCTATGTATATATGTGGGCATATGTATGAGTGCATACCTACACACATGTGCCATATATCTATGTTTATATATATTAACTATATGAATACATATGTATCACACATGCTATAGATTTTCAAATAATATTTTTAAAAGCCATATTATATGGCAAGTCACCAGGATTACATTATGTTTATATACATATATATACACACATACATACACACATAATATATAATATATGAAAATATAAACATAATATATACAAACATATATATAAACGAGTAGGAAATTGTAATTGACAATTTCATCATGTTAAAGGAAGTAATTATTTTTTCCAAACTATAAGTAATACATAAGCAAAAGAGCATTGGGAGACACTGCTCAACTGGCTATTTTCACATACATTTTGTCTTGTCATAACATGTTAATGAAAATTTGCAATAAAATTCTTCTGATATTCATAATAAATTTTATAAATTATTTTATATTTATTTACCAAAATATTTTAAATATAGCAAATATTAAGTAACTATGACAGATTAAATAGAAATTTATGCAAACAAATACAGTAGTCTATCACTATATCAACAAAGCTCGCTGTAATGACATTAGTTCGTCACTATTCAATTTTTATTTCAAAATAAACAAGGACAACAATGCTAAAATTATGATATGAAGGCAGTTCTCTTAAAACTAAGAGGTCTTAACACATATTCACTAAACAAAGTGACTAACATAAGGTCAAAACATAAAACTCAAGGGAAAATCGTAGATCTACAAATATTACTGAAAAGTTCAAAATACTTCCCTCAGTCATTGACAGCCAAAGAATGCAGAAAAACCTTTAATGGAGCAGTTAAAATAAGAGATCTGTTTTACTTCAACCGATTTATGCAATTTGCTTTTGATTTAGTGAAAGTTAATGCTTTCTTGGTTGGTTTATGTGTTTTGTGTTTTTCTTCTTTAGACTTTGAGTGTGTGGCTCCTCTGAATTCCATAAACCCTGGAGGAATTTGCAGTCTCTTACACAGCTAGTTCAAAGGCTCACTTTTTGCTTTGTTATTTTCCATAGAGTATGTTGAATACGGGGCTCATTCCCAAAAGATTCTCTTCTTGACATGTAGCTCCAGAAATTCTCTCTGCCTTATTAGCCCTTTGATCCAATCAAGAAGTTCATTTTTAATAATTTAGCCGATGTTTCTATTTGCTTTCATTTGAGAAGTTTTATTCAAAACAAACTAGCCCTGCAACATGGGAAATACCTGTATTTTATTTACTGAATCACAGTACATAGAATTACCTGCTTCATATTCTGGCTTTGATAGTAAACTTCTAAGTTCAGAACTGTGCTTCTTAAAGTGCATCAGTAAGTAGACTTTCCCTAATGAACTTGTTGTCAATATTCCTATTCTTTTGTTCTTGTACATTATAAAACAAGATTTATGTAGGTAGCTTGAAGTTACCTTTCTCTCTGTAATTATGTATGTTTGTGGTATATTATAAAATAACAAAGTTTTAAGTGATCTTCCCAAGCCTGTTTTCCTCCAGAGTCTGTGTGTGTGTGTGTGTGTGTGTGTGTGTGCGTGCGTGTGTGTGTGTGTGTGTGTGTGTGTGTGTGGTTTTTCAGAATGGACAGCTCCTTCATTTGGCAGAGTGTGTGAGACAGGGAGATGATGCCAAAAATGTCTGCTTGTGCCTAACACTGAACTCTTCACATCTTACACTCACGCATTTTCCCCTCAATTACTTCTCTAGCCTTCTTTATTTCAACAAAGCATGACCATCATTCTAGTGAAAGTTGTAATTGCAATACATTTCTGTATTATTTTTTGATGTTTCACAAATTCTGTAATTTTTTGTTTTATAACATCAATGTTGAAATAGATCAGTAGTTTTCAAATATCTCTCCCAAACACAACTGCATTTACTTTTGTTTACTTGATTCAATGTGTTCTGATACCTGACAGTACTCAAGTCCTGTCACAGACTCATACTGATTGAGTCTGTGTTTAGCACTTAAAATGACGCCTTCAAAATAAATCAGTATTTTAAAATGTACAGTAATTTGGTGTCCAATAGGAGTGCATATTTAAAATATTTCTTGGTTTATTTTTTTGGTCTCTGAGTCATTTGACATATATACATTATATTATCACATAAAATGGCTATCTCTTTTTTTGTTTTGTTTTGATTTGTGTTTTGTACTGAGAATCTAACTCAGTGCCTTGTACTTGCAGGCAGAACTGTGCTGCAAAGATTCATCCCTGCCTTAAATTGCTTTTCTGTCATTATTTTCCTAGTTTAGACATTTTGTCTGTGGAAACTAATCATTTTTTCTTCCTTATACCTTCTTAGTCAACTAAGTAGAACTCAGCATGTGTTACATGGTTAAAGGTCACTTAATCTAAACAAATTAATCTCATATAATTTATTCATATGAGCCCAAATTTAATTTTCTAAAAAAAAATCTCACTTTCATTTTTTTAGCCTTTGCACAATGAAACAGTACCTGTTACTTTTTTTTTTAATTTGGCTTATTTTTTGTTAATTTTATTGGTATATTTTTAATATACATAAAGATCACATTCATCACGGGAATGTGTACCTGTGCATGGTGTATCTTGGTTCTTCGTTTTTTTCCCATTCCCCTCCCCTTCCTTCAATCCCCTTGTCCTTCTTTATAAACCTTTCTTTTTCTATTTTTCCATCTATTCTCTTTTATCTCCTTTCTCTTCTTCCTTTTTCCCTTCCCATTTGAACATTTTCTTCCCATTTCACAATATCTATCATACATTTTGGTCTTTATTTACACTTTCGGTTTCTTATTCTTATGCTATTTTTAAAAATGTGTATATGTCAATCACTTTTGTGTGACGTCGTTAAGGTATTATTCCTTGGACATGCGCAGCTAATGTCTCAGTGTTGACAAGTCGTGTGTCAATATTTAAGACTCTTTCGTTTTTACTTCTTTTTCTGTTCTTGTTGCTGTTATTCTTGTTATTGAACCCAGGACCTTGCGTATTCTAGGCAAGTGCTGCATCACTGAGCTACACTTTCAGCCTCAAAGTACTATTTCCTAATGAAAATGTATTTCTTACTCTTTTGAAACTGATATCATTGGTTAGCTAATTAATTATACCTAGTGAATTATATATATCTCTATTGGTCATTAAGCAGTATTCCATAATATTATTACATAGTTAAATCTTCATTTTAAATAAAAATACTATACATACCTTTCGGATTAACATATGTGTCTGTTATCTCCACATTTATATCTCATACTGAAGCTATTTTTGTAAATGGCAGGTGTTCCACTAATATTTTTTTCATTTGAGGTGAAATAAAAATAATGTAATTGTAAGTATATAAGTGTTTATAGTACATTCTGGTCAAGTATATGGGAGATCAATCTGAAAACAATATATTATTTTCAATGCATTTGCAAAATACAATTTCCACAAATATCAATTCATAGTTTTTATTAAATCTATCTCTACATAATATTCAAATGCTAAGAAATTTAGAAGGAAACAAAAATTATAAAAATCGCATATTTTAGTAAAAGACAATTTGGTGATGAGGAAATCTTCCTTGTATTTGTACTCACTGATCAGTTTAAATATGTATACTATTTATTAAATTTTCTTAAGATGTAATGGTAAAATTGGAACCATATTTTTGAAATATGATATTAAATATAAAATATTAGCTATAGCTTTTGCATTTATGATATTTTTATAAAGAAACAGTGAGCTTATCAAACTTATATCTAGCAAAGTAATGATCTATAGCGTGAGGACTGGCTTTGTACAGCCGAGGAAATCAACTGTGAGTTAACTAAATCAGACCATCTACTTCTCTGTGGTCAGTTTTATACTTGCTCCTAACAATAGTCATAAAAGCTATGTGTGTTTAGTGGCGTGAGATAAGTTTTATCAGGAATCTTCTGTCATTCTCTTAGCCAAAGCCATTGTATTATGATATTTATATTGATAGGGACTGACACTCTGAACTAAAATGAAGATATTGAAAATCATTTAAAATCATCTGACAGAAAACAAATGCGTACTTGTATTTTTCAAGGATATAAGATGATCGGTTCTATTGTGCTATATAAAATAAACAAATATTGTGATTGATTTCCTCAAAGATTTCATCAGATAAGTCTAGAAAATTTAGTCTAAAGCATTAACCAGTTGCATAATTTCTGAGAATCTACGTTCATCCAATCAGCCCATGGACTGAAAGAATTATACAATTTTGTAATTTAATTTATAGATAACTTTCTAACAATAGCTTTAGAGTACACATGAATTGTTCCTTGATTGTACTAAAACTTGAACTGTTTTAAATTATTTTCACAAAGCAAACCAGTTTGATTGCTTCACTTATTTTCCCAGGGCTTCAAGTCCTCCTTCCAGACTATCTTCAGGAACGTTTTGTCCAAGCAGCCTTGAGCTACATCGCGTGCAATTCAGAGGGAGAGTTTATCTGCAAGGACAATGACTGCTGGTGTCATTGTGGCCCCCGATTTCCAGAATGCAACTGTCCCTCCATGGACATCCAAGCCATGGAAGAGAATCTCCTTCGTATAACTGAAACCTGGAAAGCCTACAGTAGTGACTTTGAGGAATCAGGTGAGATGTATATTTCATATAATATTTTCAATCTGAGACCAAAAACTGCTGAAAGCCCTATCTTGTCATTGTCCGAGAACACTAACATTATTGGAAAGATTTCCATTTTAAATATTGTTTAAAATACATGGTTTGTCTTTATCACTGGTTATTCAGTGTTTTGCTGAAAGAAGTGCACTGCTATATGCTGTTGTTGTTAGAGGCCAGCCTGCTCTTGGTTTGCTTTGTTGGTGCTTTGTTCATGAATGATCTTGTCTTAATGTTAGAATTTAAAATCTGATACTTCATGTCTTTTTGAACTTTTCCAGGGGCCCTTGAGTTTCGTTTGTGAGGCAAAATGTTCTGTGCCTTTTTTAATTAACCATGAGTTTTACCTTTCAATCAACTGCTTATTCTCTGCATTTTGACATAAAAGGGTTGTGTGGATATTTTTGGTTATTTCTGAATTCAGGTGAGCTCACATGTATGTTTTCAATATTGTCTCTCTTTGGTTACATAGATAAACTAATATTCAAGATTGTAAGCAAAGAGACTTAGGAAGAATTAGTAGATTTAGTTTGTCTTGATACCATTTTACAAAATATTTCCTTAAAATATTTGCACTAAGAGCAGAGAGCAGAACGATTGGTGTCAGAGGCAGGGAACAGAGAAATGGGGAAATGTTTGTCTACTTTGTAAACCTTTATTTGGACAGCTGGAACAAGTGCTTGAGAGTTGTACAGATTATTGTCTTAATTTAAAAGTAATATACTGTGTACCTTAACATTACTAGGAATAAATTTCAGATATTCTCATTAGAGAAGTATGTATGAATAGTGGTGCGCATGTTGATTCGCCTTATTTAGTCATTCCACGTGCAGCCATTAATCTTAGCCTAAATCTGTACACCAGAAATATAGACAAATATACATCCCAACTTACATTAAAAAATACCTAGTTAGAGGAGCCACTTAAAAAAATAGGGCAAGAATGGAAAATACTGAAGAGAGTGATGAATTGACACTGAGTTTCTAGAACTGCGTTTCTTTGGTTCACATTGATCGATCCATGGCAGATTTCAAGGCTCAAAATCAATTATCATTCCCTAGAAAATACTGCTACTCCAGAATGCTGAAACCAGAAAAAAAAATTTTTTCAGTCATACTACTTTACAGTGACAGCATTGGGAACTTAAAATATCCTAAGTGCATACATAGCCAGTTACTACAGATAGATTTTTTTCCTTAATTTGAATTCTACTTGTGGTGTGTTTAAATAGTTAAATTAATAAAGCTGCAATAGTAGAACTGAGTCTTCTACTGAGTGATAGGCCTAAATTGCAAATACTCACCAAGTTTGAAATTCAGAGTACTAAAAGTCCACATTGAAAAACAGAGAAGGGAAAATAACCTGTCTCTCAGCAGATGAATGGATGAGGAAAATGTGTTAGCTTTGCACAAAGCTATTTACCAAGAGACTGAATAATTATTGTCATTTACAACACATATTTGGATCTGGGGTATGTCATGTTAAGTGAAGTAAGCCAGAGAAAGGACAATAGTACCAAATGATCTCAATCGAGTGGAATATAAAAAAGTTGATCAAATATAACTGGATTACCAGAGGATGAGGAAATTAGTGTGAACAGAAGGAAACCTTGACCAATGGTTACTAAGTAATAGTTAAGGAAGAGTAAAAGTTCTCCTGTAATATTATATAGTAGGGTGATTACAGATAACAACAATGTACTATAAATTTTAGAAAACTGGAAGAAAATATTTGTGAATAAGTGGCAAATGTTTGGAGAGATAAACATTTTACTTTGATTTAAACATTATGCAATATATGCATATATCAAAACAATGTAGAATAAATATGTATTAATAAATATGTATTAATAAATATGTATTAATGTTGGACCAGACTACTTAAACATGCAACAAACTGTATGCATAACTATTGTAATAAAGCAGGTAGATTTGCAATAAGAGAGAGAAATTTCACTCACTCGACTGAACATCTGTAAGATTTTAAATATAAGATTAAACTTCAGAAAAAGTAGTGGAGGACATTAGAAGGGTGGTTTGTCACTGTTCTTGAGTCATCTGTGTTTTCTGATTGTATGTTATTGAGGTTAGGCCCCTGCCATTTCCCAGAGATTGGAGAACAGGAAGCAATTCTTCAAAGATTACATTTCATGTAAATGAGGGAACGGCCTCTACCTCCCTGAGAAAGACCTATCCGACTTGTAGACTAGCTCCTTGTGAAAGGGTAAAGGAAGAATTTACAATTTCCAAGTATTTCACATTCTTTAAGGCAAGAAAAGTCAAGGGCCTATAAACAGGAATAAATTTGGAAAACAAGAGTGTTCGGGAACCTATAAACAGGCATAGACTTGTTCAGATTTTAGTGAAGCTGAAGAGAATGCCCAGGTCCTTTTGGTCAGTATCTCGCAGTATGGGCTCCAAAACACAAGAAGAAAAAATTGACACAAGTAAAAGGAATGAAAGACACCTACACCATTATAGTAAGATTTTCTTTCTTAATAAATAGAAAGATAAAATTAACGTCAATAAAGATTATGAATTTGAACAGAAAGTTTGGAGCTGATGAAAATATACATGAGTGAATAAATATTTTCAGCTAGCTACTTATCTAGGATTCATGAAATATTTACCAAATTTTATCAGTGTAGGGACACAAAATGACTTTGAAAAATTACAGAATAATGTCATTTGGAAAATATTTTCTGACAATAAGAAAATTGAACTGATATCAGTGCTTAAAAGATAAATGGGCAAATAGTATCTCTCAGAAAATTAAATGAAACTTCTAAAGACAGACAGAAAAGAAATAGGAAAGGAAGTGAAATCTTAGAACAACTGAAATTCTAACATAATAAAGATATGAGTGTCTTGATTGCTTTTAAATAAAATTATTTTTCAGTATCTTTTAAAGTTATGTTGTTTCCTTTGATCCAGCAAATAAATAAGCAAGAATTTCAAAAACATAAATGTAGAAAACAAATAGAAGTTATTTTCAGTAACATAATAATTCATAATAACCTGAAAGAGGGTTCTGAAAAAATGCTCATTCATAAAAAATACATATTTTAATCTAGAAATCTTTTTATATTTATATAATGGAATTTTATAAAGTGAGATTTGAACTCTTCTCAAAGCTAGTAAAAACTGTTGAAGCGGACTTTGGTTTTGATAATGGATTCTGTTCTTGAAAGGTTTTCCTGCCTCCTGATAAACTGTAACAAGGAACGAAGCAGATATTGCACTGGAAAAGGTCTTGGTCTCTGAATTATTTTCACCCCTCACAAGATCTTATAGGTTGATAACCTTCATTATAATTATCAGAATTGTAAGGCAATGCATCATCTTATTTCATCTCATAGATCATTGGAAAGCAGTAATACTATGAGCAGGTGCACAAATATTGGGAATTCTTGAATTTTAGGTACAAGATCGAGTTGGTTATACATACCAATATACCAGAAAAATAAATGTTGTTATACTTTCTATAGACAAAAAAATTCAGAGCGGTGCTTTAGGTTAGTTTCAACTACTTAGTTTAACAATTTCAAAAAATAAGTAATACAAGTAATTAACATGACAAAATATTTTCATTTAAATTAAGAAAATTGCATTATATTATTTTAACTCAAGGGGATACACATCTGCAATCAGAAAATTCATTCTATAACACAAATAACAAGCTGCAGTATGTCAGAGTGCACAGCCCGCAATATAGATGCTATTTACTCTCATAAAAAATAGAAAGAAATGGAGTTTTGCTGTTAGGTCAAGGCAATCTGTTATAAATGCCTTTTTGGTTTTGTGTTTTCTATGTAGAAAATTCAATCAGTAGGTAAAATTAGCATGTAATGCTGTCATTCAAATATTAAATTTTATTTCAGTTGTTTCGTCCTGTAATTTGCAAATCCTAGAAAATATACTTATTAGGGACTACAAATAAAATTGTCACAGAATTTTAAAATAAGTGTATATTTCTTTTCATATTGTGCAACTTGAGATCATTCCTAACTTTATAATATACTTGTATACAAATGTATTCATTATGTTTTCTGAAATATGTATTTAATAAGAAATATAGAAGGTATGTGTGCATCGTTATTTAGAATGAAAGAAATTATGTAGGATAATGACAGAAGGAAATACAGAAGCAGAAAAGAATGAAATGCATGTACACCTTCAGAATAACAAGAGCTTAAGAGCTGATTTACTTGCTATATTTATTTAGATGAAAATAATAACTTTGTCTCAAATTATACACAAGCAATACCTTCTACGATCCAACTCAAGGTTTCCAATTTACTGAGAAAACTAAAAGTACTCAAAGTTTTACACATGTATCTAAATATGTAAAACCAAAATTTTGTTGGCAATACATTGCATTCTGACATACAGTTTTCAGTCACTTTCAACTCTTTTCTGAATGCAAAAATTAATTGCTTAAGCTAGAATTATCATGGTATTTTAATTGATTTTACTGGTACTTTTAAGGTATGCAATATAACGACATTCATGTTTGGAAATCTGAACCTTTATGTAATCTCGGTTCTTCATTTTCCCCATCCCCTGCCCTCCCTTCAACTCCTCCCTTGCTCCTCCCTCCCTCTCTGCAAAGACTTTGTTTCCCTTCGTTCCCCCTCCCCTCCCATTTCTTCTTCCCCTCTGTTGCTTTTCTTCCTACTTCACGTTATCTGTTAAACCTTTCAGTCCTTATTTATGCTTTCAGTTTCTCACAGTAGAGACACTATTCGGTATTTAGACACATCCTATGCATATTACTTAAAAAATAAAAAAGAAAATCACTACATCTTAAGGAAATATTTTAACTTTAATTGTGCATTTTGCATGTATAGTCTTTGATAAAATCCTTTTTGTTCCTCAGTGTTTATTCTCATTCTCTGAAAGTAAATTTTTCTTTCTTGTCTTTTCCTCTTCCTTGTTTTTGTTTGTTTGTTTGTTTTGTATCAGGGATCAAACTCCGGTCCTTGCCTTTGTGAGGCAGGCGACAGAACCACTCAACTAAATCCCTGTCCAATTTTTGTATTTGTTGAGTAACCTTATTTCCATTAGTATTATGTAATATATGCGACTGAGTTAAT